TGTAGTCTACTATGAGCTGCTTTCTCATGGTGAAAACATTAATTCTGCCAAATAGTGTAATCAGTTTGAAAGATTGAAATTGAAAGTAGAAAAACGGCCAGAATTGGCCAACTGATGAGGCCTCATCTTTCATCACGACAATGCAAAACTGCATATTGCATTGGTTATAAAAACTGTTTGATTAGGATGTTCTACTGCATCCTTCTCAGATCTTCTACTTCATCCAATTATTACTTGTTCCTGTCATTAAAAAAATTCTCTCGTGATAAACAGTTCTAATCCGTAAGCAAAATAAAAACGAACTTCGAGGAATATTTTGTAAGTCCCAACAATTTTTGAATGAGAAAATAACGAGGCTTCCTGAGAGATGGAAAAAACTGATAGAGCAGAACGGTTTATATATAACGCAATAAATCAATCTTAAACAACAAATATCGTGTCAATTCATTTCGTATCAAAAACAAAAAAAGAAAGAAACTTATGGGACATCCTAAAATACATAGAAAACCAATATATACTTATAATTAAATATAAAATTTAGTAGGTTAGAGCGATTTATAGTATTCTATTGTACTAAATAAATATATTAGAGGAAAAAACAGTTAATTATTTAGAAATAAATACATAAAGAAGATAGAAAAAAGAGAGACAAATAAAGCATTTTATCGTAAAATAAAAGATGATGCTTATAGAGTGTTTCCAAACTGACAATACATGAGGAAATCGTATCTATGAGTTCAAAAAATATATCGAAAACGTACAATGATCTTTTTCTTGGACAAAGTCGAATTGATCGATGTTGAAGATTCGTTTTTTGAATAATATGAACTGATTTTAAAAAATCACTTTTTCAAAGACTTCTTGCTTTTAAAGAAATATACTTCCAATTAATTATTCAGTCAATGAATAATGTAAGCGATATAAAAATTCAATCAATCTCGCTTCCTATCGATTTTATTAATCTTCAAATATGTTGTAAAGGATACTATTTTTAGTAACTTTTTTAATTTTATGATATAATTGGCAATTGGTTAAGTAAATCTTAAATAATAATATATGTGCTTTCTTAATAATAATATATGTACATGTGAACACAACTTAACAACTATTTACATAAATACATTAAATTGGTAACCAATAGCCAATTGGTAACTAGTTTGTCGTTGTTTGCCGGATATTTCCTTCACAGAATTAAGAAGAAAACTTGTCATAGAAATTTCTTTCCATTTTCAAATATTCAATTATCATTTCATCAATTTATTCAATTTTATTTATATTTATATCAATATTTTTCTTTCTTTTCTTCCTTTATTATTATTGTGTTATAAATTTATAAGTAGATTTATAAGTTAATGAAATGCATATGAATGTTACTGGATCAATTCATAATTTTTTGAATATTCTGCACAATACATTAAGTTAATCGGCATTTCTAATCTTGCATTGTTCTTCTTCAAATAATTATTCTATCGTGAATCTAAAAAAACTGTGTAACATTAAAGAGAATAAAGAAGAAACTCTGTTTGCCTGTAATGCAATCGAAACTTTCACACTCTTTTAGGTACTAAAAAGCACACATTGAAAAAATAGCAGAGGAGCTTATATTATCATTTGCTGCCGACTTTTTACATTCATAGTAAACTGTAATTTGTAAGTATATTCTTCCAGACATATAAACATTTTTATATATGTATATACAACTTAATACAAATTTTTTTATGAAATTTGATATACATATATACAATTTATCCTGAACCGCTGAAACATTTTGAAAAAATATGATTGATATGAAAAAATGTTTGAGATAAAAATTATACGACGTAGAAAGATTATATTATGCACTATTGATATTTTTTTCTATAAATTGACGCATAGAGGTCATATGAAAATCACATTTAATCTTTTAAATGAAACTATATAATTTTTATTGCATTAATCGATATAATTCGTTATTTCCTATAACAAAAATCTTTTAGTTTAATATTTTAACTTGAAATTTGTAAAATTTACGAAAAATACGAAAGAAGGAGAGTATGAATTTCGCGTATATTATTTTCCATATGATAAGTTTTACAACATCAAATTATCTCCTAATCTAAATTGCATCAATTATTACAATAAAAATTATATTTTTATTGTATTAAAAATTATATCCGTTTAAAAAATTAATTTGACTTTTATACATCTATCTCTATGACTTTTATATTTTATCAATAAGAAAGCTATTAATATTTCATAACGTATCTCTTTATATCAAAAAACTTTTGTCTAAAATGTTTTTTCACATCATTTATATTTCTCGAGATATTTCAGATAATTCGAATCGAATGTATTATATTTATATCTACACTATTTACACTACAAACACACACAATTCATAATACCGATTTTTTTGTTTTAATTCATTTATTAAGAATCATTTCTTATTCATATTCAAATTTTTTTAATTGAACTTTAATTATATTAAGATTAGATTGGTTACTTCTTTGATTTTTTTCAGAAATAAAATATTATTGAACGAATCTTGCAGTTTGTATTGAAGTGTTATTTTGTTGAAAGATGTATGAATTTCTGCCAATACAAATTTCATACTTTTATAATTTTTTTTTATTCTCTATATAATTTAATATATTTATTTCTATTAACAAGACTTGATAGGAAATTGATTTTTATTTTCCCATAGTATTCAATAATAATCTACAACGACCGCCATTTATTTGAAATCAACTTGAACACAATTGTTTCATTTTTAAATTGTAAAAATAATAATTAAATTTATTTAATAACTTTTAATAAATTTATTATTTTCGTAGTAATGTTAATTTTCGATAGCAATAATAATATACTTGACTTCATTTCTTCTAATATCTTCTTTCAACTACCTTTCTTTTTTGTTGAATAAATATGTTAATGTTGTAGTCAAATAATTATTATTTCTATATCTATTAAATGAATAATTAAATGCGTAACATTGATTTTGTTGAATAAGATTCATATTTACATCGTCTTTGGTGTACTTTATATACAAGATATTAATATGTTCGATGTTTTTATATGACATTTGTTGTTCTAGAAGTTCTAGAAATCAAAACAAATACAAAATTTGATATACAAAAATATCAATGTTTATTTATTAAGTTATAAGCAATTGAAGACAAAGCGAGATAGAAGAAAGGAACTATTCTATCTGTTTTTTGTTATGCACTGTTGTCATAAGAACCGCGTACTGTTGTCTGTTCTTGGCATGCTTCGTCATGCAAATTTCAATTGCTTATAACTTAATAAATAAATCGAATGATATTTTTGTATACCAACTTTTGTGTTTATCTCTAAAATTGATCTTTTACAATCGACAATCCACATGTCATAAATCCACAAATATATGAAAATCTTAATATAATGTAATTTAATGATTTTTGATGTACTTTCTAGTTTCATATGAAATACATAAATAAAATATCTTTATTTTTATCAATATAATTAGTACAATGATAAAAATTAATTTACAGCACATTCAAATCGTTGTACTACCAGTTAGGAAACACTTCATGTTATGGTAATAGATATATCTATTTTAAATTTAGAGATATTATCTATAACTATTTCGTATAAAATTCATTTTCATAGTTTAAATCTATTGTTGTCATTATATTTAATTTCTCATATTATTGATATATGTCAGAGCATCAAATCTAAATTTAAGATTATCAAAATTTGTAAATGATAAATACCAACATGCTATTTTATTCATGTTTGAAAATATAGAGAAATTGAAATGCATAAAGCGTATAAAAAGTTCTATGATAAATTAAGGACAATAAGGATTATATATAATTCTATTCGCAAGTATTAGAGAACTGCTAAGAATTTTTAAGAATTCTAAGAATATATGTCATCAGAATATATGTTCTTAGGATGTTTTTAGGTTATTCAAAATGATTTTATCGCCATCTATGAGAAAAGTTAGGAAACAAAAAAATATTTTTAAAACAGTATTTTAACATAAATTAATATCAAATAATTATTTTAATTTTTCTTATCTATTTAACAAATAGAAACCATAAATAAATAAATAAAATTAGTAAATTCTTAACAGACAGATTTATTAAAAAAATAAAAGAATTTTATGAAAATTTTAATAAAATAATAAACAACACAAAATTTTAACAATACTATAATATCGTTAACAAAACTGTGATATTCATAAAAATAATAAAATATTTACAAAAATTATTATAAATTATTTTAAATAATTAAAATAAATAATTTTATTCAATTTAGTGATTGTAATAATTTGAATAGAATTTGAATAATAGAAACATTGTAGTAATATTAAATAACAGAATAACATAATTTCTACTTGGTAAGCTAACCGACAAGATAAGAAAACATTTAAAGATAGCATCCAATAGTGAGTGGAAGGGGAACGTAGCGGGCTCACGGACCGCTTCTACGCGTCTCAATGTTATACGAACACTGACACAAAATTCCTTATGTTCACTACTTCATACAAGTAATACAAATACATATAACAAATCCAAACATGCCCTATATGCAAAAATATATATCTGTATTAAAATATATAATATAAAAACATATAGAAGTATTCTTTTTGATAAAATAATACAAATTTAAGAACATAAAAAAATATATTAACATATTAAAAATCTTATATAAATATTTATTTATATAAACATGTATCACATCATGAATATGGTTAATAACATGCAATATTAATAATATATATTCTATAATATATCTTGATAATGATCTATTTATATCTAAATAATTGAATGATAAAATTTTAAATATTTTGAAATTCTATAAAAATTCCTAATAAAAAATAATGCTAAAAGTAATCAGTTTATAATAAAGTTCTAAAAATAAATATGTGATTTATAATTTATATATTATGTTTGAAAACGTTATAAGAAAAATATAAATGCGTGAATATAAAAGTATGATATTACATTTATTATTATTATGATAATTCAGTAGTTTATAAACTTATAAGCAAATAAAGTAAATATAAATAAATAAATAGCTTTGATCATTTAATTAATAAATAAGATTAATAACTATGGATAAATCAAAATGTTACGACAGGAACATTAAATACATTAATAATATGAAAAATTGCACGTAGGAGATAGTTTATATATGTTTATTAATATTATAAACTCATGTAATAATAGATGCATAAATACATAAGACACAGATACAAGAAATATAATATATTGAGAAAAGCGATCTTACAATTAATACATTTAGCCTAATAATTCTTAATCATAATAGAATAAAAGGTTTTTACTTTTAATTTTCAAGTTAAAATTCAATTTCATATGAATTTTAAATTATTTTAAATTATTAAAATATAAAATAATTTAAATTATTCAGTAATTCAATAAAATCAATTTTATTTATATAAGAATAATCAAATCCATATCTAATTATATAATTTCTTTGATAACGATCAAGAAAATAATTCTTTTTGTTAGTATTAAAGTAACTAAAGTAAATTCCACATAAACATCAAATAAATGCATTATATTGTCTCTCTTTTTTTAAGATTTATAAAGTCCAAATACAATATTAACTAAAATAAATGTTTTTATTAAATAATCTTTCAAAGTACTTACGTTTGTTTTGACTCCCAAGTTTACGTCCATAAATATTGCATCAACAGGACGGTTATAAACTAAGACTCGAGCCATTTCTTTTATTTAATTACTTTTAGAATTAGATTACTGTTCACATGTGTTCAGAAGAAATTTACATATATACGTATGATCAGTGAATAGTAGATTGTAATATTCTTTATAGATAATCTATTTTTTTTATATGATATATTCAAATTATATAATAATAATAAATTTTAATACAACAAAATAAATTTTATACGTAATTTAATCATTTAATGATCAAAAATTCCTTAAATCTATGAAAAACATGAAGCAATATTTTAGGTTAACCCTAAAGAGATGACCTCAGAGATTATTCACATTTTCCTTCTATTATATACATTTTATTTTCAATACATATTCATTTATTAACTAATTTCTTATTAAATAATTATATAAATTTTTTCTTCTACGCATGCAAACACACCAAAACAAAAAAGATAATTACTGTACAATAACACAGACTATTCCAAGACTAGAAAATTCAAAATGGCGACTACCGATACTATGAAAATCTTTCATTTTCAACTCACTTCAGACCATTCTTAATGATTCATTGCGCAATAGTGACCTTGAAAATACACTTATTGCAGGAAATTTAAACATTTTACATTATTTATTTTTAAAATAAAGGTTTTTATATAATTTATATTGTATTTAAGAAGTGTTATTACGAAAAAATCTTAAACTATTATTTTTACAATTATAAAGAAAAATTTTTAACTAAAAGGATATATGATAATAATATTCTTCATTAATAGTTTAATGTTAATTTTATCTAGTTATTGTTCATTATTTAGTAAAATTTTTATAAATGTACAAAATATAATATTTATTTATTCGAATATATTATTCGAATATAAAATATAAAATAATTTTAAAAACATTTTTTCAAAATACAGATTTCTTTTTCAATTATAAAATAATAATTTCAATGAAAATCGGTTAGATTAACTGAGCATGCGTGTTACTAAGCGGTTCTTTCTAGCTAACTTCAGTTATATAGTATAAATTCCTTATTGTATGTATACTACATTGCTAATAAATTGCTAAATCAGAGGCAAAAAGAGTGGTTCTTTCCATCACTTATATACATTCATTATTATATGATCTTATTTGAATCTTAAATATGATATTTGATAATATACATACTTATTTTTATGAATATTTGATCCATTAAGATCAATCAATCAGATAGCATTCCTTCTGATTATTAACATATAAATAACAAATAACATATAAATAATAATACAGTTTGTATTTATAAAAAAAGAAATTATATATATATTTAATTATATATATATTTCTGAATCTTTTTCTAATTATATTTATAACAATAATCCTATTATGAATGATATCTTTTAATAATAATTTGACTACTTTTATATTATAAAAAGATGAAGTATCATATATTCTTTTGGCGCTTGATAAAATTTTATCAATTAATTATTATAGATATTTGTTTTATATTCTGAAATCATATGTTGTATTATGTAATATATTAAAAAGTAATCAAAAGAATAATGATTTAATGATTTAACGATAAGTTACCGATAGAGTAATACTACGTATGAAGCGCCAACATCATGGTACTAAGCACCACACTGTTGTGTGCTATCGATATATGCGAGTCTAACAGAGGCATAATGGAGGCTTGGTCTATTGGCGAAGTTCCATAAAAAAACCTTTAATTCATGATGTATCGCATCAGATATGTACACATTGCGTATAAAGCGAGTATTTACTGATACGATGGACAAATGTTCATTAGTTTATTGGTTGTAGCATTGAAACATACAAGTGATATTTTATTGTATGTATCTCTAATGCTTTGTAAATAAAAAATCTAAAATTTCTAGAAAGTTAAAACTTAAACGTGAAATCGACAGAGCATTGCAATAACTTAGAAAAGATAAATTTTGAATATAAAATTAATTCTTCAATATTATTATCAACTCATACTAGCTTTGCTTTAAACCATTTTAAATAAATACAATTTTCTTCTGTCTTTTTCCTATGAACACGTATTCTCTCTCTATTAAATTACCTGGATATTCTGTTCTCACTCTATGAGTCTGGACTTCAGAGAGACCGTTGTTCGCTATGGAATGTTGTCCAATGCGGATAAGTCTTGCTAACAGATCTTTTATATCATAGTTGAATAAATTTCACCATTAATTTGATTTAATATTGTTTGTTAATGTTTTCACATCCTATAAACAGTGTATTTGTGAGTATTATGTATAAGCAAATATTATATCATTAAATGTGATATAGAAGTCAAATGGATGTGTGATAACTCATTGAAGCAGAATGAATAATCGAGATTACCAGTTTTCTATATTTGCTTTGCTTGCAGACTGATGAAAAAACTCATATGATCAGATGACTTAAGGATCTCCATATTGTATCTGCATTATTTTCAATATCTATCTGATCAATATCTATAGATATTTTTCAAAATATTAAAAGAGAATTCTTTTTAAAAGCAATAGCAGACTTATTTATTGTTATTAGTTTCCTCTCTATATATTCTAGTAAGTTTGCGACTGTTAGATGAGGCAAGTCTTTTGAGTAAGTAATTGCCTTTTAAGTCATTTGATTTCTTTTGGAAGTAGACTTAGACTTAATAAACAGTTCATGTCCTGAACAAATCGATTGATTTGTTATTTGATTTCTTTCGGAAGTAAACTTAGACTTGATAGACAGTTCATGTCTTGAACAAATCGATTGATTGACAAAGTTGCATGCATTCCCTTAAAAGTTTATTGAGAAATAATAGATATTCCTAGACATTGTCAACATCTTGAATTTAGACTTATAATGCATATGTTCAATCGTAATTGGATATTCATCTATCTCATGAGAATGCTTCTTCAAATTAGCCTCGTGAAATCTTTCTTCAAAATCATTGATTTTTACATTTTGTAGTAGAATGCCTTAGAAGATGAAGATGCATTAAACGTTCTGTAGGAATCTGCTTTGAACCAATTCTATGGGACTTTATCCAATTGCTTTCTTCTTTTGATTCAATTTATATATTATATTCAGTATTGACATACAAACCTTGAAACAGAATTGCGGAAAACTAGTAATAAAGCCAACTGCTTAGCATATCGCTTCATAAAATAATTAGAATTTTAAATGGATTCTTTTATAATATTAAAACTATATAGTTTATTGGTATTGACGTAATCTACGTCATTGGTCCTGTTCAAGTTTTAGCTACATATGAATGTCTATGTCTATGTCTATGTCTAGAATGGATAACCAACAAGAGACCTATTGAAGAATATTTTGATCCGGGAGTGTTACTGATACTTGGATTTTTATTTTGACTCCTGTTGATCTTTTTTTTCCTCTCTGAAACTTTTTTCCATTGATTGTAATCAGTCATAGCTAGAGATTTTTATTTTAATCCTATTTTTTGAGCGCTTACAATCAGTGAGTTGTCCCTCTTTGCAATGGCTATGATGTTGCTATGATTTCGGATGGTCTATTTGCGGCAGAGATCTGAACTACTATGAATATTACAATCAGAGATGGACAATTTGTATGTGCCATGAATTTATGGCAGTACGTTACCGAAGAAATATTGATCTCTTGCGAGAACAGGCTATAAGCATGATATAACATATTTCAATGAAGATTCTAAGACTCTCAGTGTTGCTTTAGAGAAACTTATTGTAATAATTTTGAATTAACAGAAATCCATTTCATGTATAGATCTTCTTTGTGTTCCCAATCAATCATAAGATGCTTTTTTGATGAATAATAGTCCATTTCATGTGTTAATTTTTATATTGTTGCTGATCAACATGAACTGTTACTATTTTAAATGCTTTATTGTTGAAATGTTGAATTATATATACTAAATTTTTTACAACTTTTTTTATAATAATTCTGAACATAATTAAATCCCATAAATGAAGAATATTATTATTTTATATAATAATAATTTATGATATCTTATAACTGATTATGATCTGGAACTGTATAACTCATAACTCATCTTTTACAATTTTAAGTCTATCTAGTTCTATCTCTAAGTCTTTCTTTTATGTTTGGTAAATACACTTTTGACTTAAATAAGTACTTGCGAGGGTGATATCGTTATCTTTGATAGTTAATATAGAAAGATTACTATTTTTTAATTAAACACATCATTTGGTAAATTTATTTTGATAAAATTCTTTTTTTATTTTTTGTATGTTTTTTTATTTTGTAATTTTATCTTATATCTTCTAGAAAAAGATTGCAGATTAATATCAGATATTGTTAATGCCAATTAAAATATCTATGGTGGCTTATTTCAAGTAAGATGGAGATATGCTATTTCAAAAAATTCATTTCAATATTTTTTTGTATTTTGATAAAGTTAGTTTCCTATTTCATTATCTATAAGTCTGATACTATCTTTTATAGTATAATAACTTTCATAATTATAATTATAAAAATACACTAAGTATTATATAATATATTAGGGACATATAAAATAAAATAGAATTGATAGTAGGATTGAAGGTAGTTTGTGTGAAAATTAAAAAAATATATATTAAAAACCCATTATAACAAATATAAAATATTTAATACATATGACCATACAATTAATCTTCGATAGTTTCTGCAATGTTTGTTGTAATGTTTATTGTAAATAATTATATTAAAATAAACAAATCCTAAAAAGTTCTTTATAAAATTTTTTATATAAATAATTATAAATAAAAATAGCTGTAATGAATATTGGAAAATGGATATAGTTTAAAATTTTACTTTTCAATTTTTCTGAGAGTCACACAATCCACAAATCCATTATTTTTTCCCGTTTTTTCTTCCCTGTTAAAATTGTTTGTGTATTAAAAAAATGTAATCCATCCTTGTTACACAAAATGTAATCCTATTGAAAAAAGCAATGTGAATTAAATTATACATTGAAGATTTAAGATCTTGATAAAGCTTCTTTAATTGCAAAAACCAATTAAATCGATTAAACGAAAGGATAATTAGTTAGCTCGACGGTAGGAATGTAGATATGGTAAAGCCTTCTATCAGAAGAAAGAAGGTAAGAGGAGGAATAGGCGACTGGATTCTCAGGCGCATCCACTCTGCTGTTGAGCGACGTGGAAACTTCCGGAAGCTGTCCAACTTTTCTAAGTAATTAAAACC